CAAAGGAGGCATGTGCTTCTCCCGCCTCCTGATCTGGGAGCAGCGAATCATGCCTTGCAGTTGAGCACGCTTACGTTGGGTGGGTTATTTCGGAGGGCGTGCTTCAGAGGAGAGAGGAATGGGGGAGAAGGAGGAGGCTCGCTCTTGTCAGAAGAGACCGCATGAGAGCTGAGTCCGGGAGGCAGAAGATAGATATTGCTAGCTTGGCCAGAAATGGGGAAGGGGAAGTTTAGGAGATAGGTGGAGGAACACAGGCTGTTTCTGTGGCCAGTAGAGCACAGGGATGGGTAGAGTGAGAAGCAGGAAGAGGCCAAGTTTAGGGACCCCAGATTTTTCAAGCTGCAATGCAACTGAGTATGCTATAAATCTCATAAAGCAGCCTTACATTTACAAATGTTTTGTCATTCTGAAATATAAAGGGTAAGTACAAACAGGTTACCATTATGATTTTGAAGAAATGCTGAATAAATGGTCATTAAGTGAGGACAACTTGTAATTATAAAATATAAAATGTAAAAATAAAATATAAAATGTATGTTTGGGCATTTTACAGTTGGATAACAACAAGCATGGACAAGTTGAAAATGTGATTAGTAAAGAATACATTAAAAGAGTGAGAAAAGTACTAAAGAAAAAAATGAATGGGGGAAACACCATCAAAGCCATGCCTGGGCCATATACAGCTGGTATTATTAACTGGACACAGGCTGAAGTGGACTGTCTTAACCCAAAAACTAAAAAGCTAATAACTATTCATTTTGCATTACATCTCTGTAATACCGGTGCATTTTAATGTGCTGCAGTAATCGAGGTGGAGGTTTACCTCAAGTCCAACAGACTGTCAAAGAGGAAAAGCATGCATCGGAACATGAATATTAGAATAACATAATAAAAACACACAGAGAATGCTGACAATAAAAACATGTTTAATTTCCAGAAAGATCAAGTGAAAAGTGGATAAAGATAAATCCTTGCAATAGCTTATAACTGGAACATTACAAAATGATTCTCTAGGCTTGATTTTGGCTGCTCAAGAGCAAGCTATTTGAACTAATGCAATCAAGGTCAGAATTGAAAAATTGTGTAATGAATCAAAATGCAGATTGTGCAAAGAGACAGAAGAAACAGTAGATCATATACTCAGCTCATGCAAGACGATCACATAAACTGATTATAAAAAATATAACACAGTCATCAACATGATTCACTGGAACATCAGTACAAAATACCCATAATGAAAAATTGTTGGGAACGTAAGAGTTGAAAAAAGTAGTTAAAAATAATCAGGTTAAAATATTGTGGGATTTCCAAATAGAAACTGATAGTCTTGGCACATCATATTTAACTGTGGCTGAAAAGAAAAAAGTGTGAATAATTGATATGGCAATACTAGAAGATGATAGAATGGGCAAATAATGGAAGAAGATTGCAAAGTATTGTGATCTGAACATTGAAACTGAAAGATTATGGCATAAACCAACCATGGTAGTTTCAATGGTTACTAGCACACTTACAGTAGGTTGTTGGGAAGAACTCAATGTGTATGAAAGCCCAAAACAGCTAAAGAACTGACAGCTGTGATTTCACATTTTTGTCTATATTAATATGGCTCTTAGCACACATACAGTAGGTTATTGGAAAGAAAGGAATGCATATGAAGAGCAATATCAGCTAAAGAACTGGCACCTATATTTCACAATTTTGTCTATATAATAACAGTAACAATAGGACCTCCTCGATAGAACCGGGGGAATGAACTGGAGAATTCCATTCATGGTTATCTCAATTTTTCCTACATATTGTAAGCTATAAAGTAACCCCTCAGTTCTTCCTGAATTCCATTTTTACTTCAGAATATTTTTCTCTTATTGATGTTTTTGAAGAGTTGAATACTTTAATTATTTATATGGATTGATACCTTTAATCTTTAAAGTGTGTACACAGGCTGGTAACTTTAATTCTTATTGACTGATATTGACTGATATTGATGTTGGTTATCTAGTATCAGTATTTCTCTTTTTGTTTGGTCTTCTAGCCAACACTGCATTGAAAACCTGCACTCTTGTGAGTGCTCCAATCATTCTGAAATCATTGTCAAAAAGTCAATATCCTACCTCGAAAGCCAACTGGAACAGTAAACTGTGTTGGTTTTTCTTCAAAATGTCCTTCTCCCCTACCTCTTTCATAGAGCAGATTGCCTGCATCTGGTCTGCTATGTCGATATGTCTTCTCTTCATTGACTGAAACATAAAAAACAGTTTGGTTTTGGATTGTGTAGGGCTAAGTGTGTAGGCCTGAAAAAGTTAGTAGAGCAACAGCTGGTGAATTAAACCAGGCCAAGTGATTGCAATCAAAATATACATAGTGTTAAAAGGAAAGGTAGCCAGGCATCTATTATTGCTTTAACATGATTTGAAATAAATAGAAAGGGGAAACGGGAAGAAAGAAAGAAAGAAAGAAAGAAAGAAAGAAAGAAAGAAAGAAAGAAAGAAAGAAAGAAAGAAAGAAAGATGCTAAGAAGGTGAAAGGACATAGTTATTATACCTAATTGAAAAATTCCAGTAGATGTTGTATAACCACCCAGTCACAGCAAATTTATATAATTTTCATAATAGTAGTTTCTTTCTTTATATTCTTATTTTATATTTCTCCATAATTGTAGATGCTAAAATTGAAGATTATTTGCATTAGTGCACAAAATGTGCAAGCAAATGAAATTCATTAAAAAGAAAGGAGAGGTTTATTTTGGAATGTTATGCAGCATGGTTGTAAAATAGGTAAGCAATAAATATAGGTAGTCCCAGACTAAGTGACCATTCATTTAACAATAATTCAAAATTACAATGGCTTTGGAAAAAGTGATTTATGACCTGTCTTAAAAGACTTATACAGAATCCTGAAATCCTTTTTACTGTTTTAATGTTTTTGGTATTTTCTGAACTGTAGGAGTTATTCACTGTAATGGGGGGCTATAGAAATTGAATGAAACAAACAAACTCTAGCAAGTATAATTTGACAGTATAATGGGACTTTTAATGTTTTCTGTCTAGAAAATCACTGAATTTCTTGTCCATATTCAACACAATAAATGCAGAAAGCTTTGTGAAATAAAATCACAGGAATACTGGGGTCACTTACTGTATGTAATGGCATAATGGAATAATGTTTGAGGAACAGAGAAAGAATCCCAACCAAGAACAATGTTCAGATAAAGGAAATATGTATCCGAGACAGAAATGCTATTTGACAAAGCATCTGATGCATGACCACCCTCCTAATTCTTACGAAGGAGGGAGGGAAGAAACACATTCAGATTTGTACCCCAAACTTAAAATATAAATAGCATTAGCATTCATAACTCTGATCCAACTTAAAGGACTGACACCTTATCTTTACTTTTCAAGATATGGGGAAGCACCAAAGCAGGAAATATAAGCTACACCTATATTCTAAGTGTAATAGAAAGCATTTAGTCTTTCGCAAGACATATGGGCACTCTACCAATCTAAAAGCTAATCATAGGCTTGCTTACTTGTCAGATAACAGTCCAGGCTGAGGGACACATTATCAAAGGCAATGATGGTTTCTGATCCAGCTTTCCAGGATGCAATAATCTGAAGCCAAAATCTGTAAAAGAATAATGGAAGCGATCAGACAATGTCAGTCAAGGCAACCAACTCATAATAAAACCACTTTGCTCTTGATTCTCTCAATCTAGCCTTAAACTTAAAAGCATCTCCTTCTCCAATTGGTGCCCTCTGGTTGTGTCAACTGTACAGACTGAGAATGATGGGAATTGTAGTCCACACATTTGGAAGGCATTGGGTTCTGGAGGACAGATAAAACACATTCCTGGAATCTAGCAAATAATTTTAAGAGGATAAAAGCAAGTATTTCATTTAGATACATGTGAAAGTATATATGTTGATACACATAAGACTTCACTATGAAGCCATGTTCAAATGAGTGGAGAGCCACAAGGGCAAGAACAGGTGTACAATGTGTGATGCTGCCACCTTTTCTTTAGATGCCCTTGGCACAGTTTGTTAGGTAAAGGAAAGGTCTTTGCTACATCTATAAAAAGGAGTCTTAATCTTACACTTAGTATCTATTTTCACATACATGTGGTTTTCAGCAATGTTAATCAGAAATACTCAGAAACATTTATTTCTAATGAGTTTTACACATGTATCACAACAGAAGATTGACAGAAATCCCAGAGTTGTAGGCCAGACTGGGAGGATGAAAAAAACATCTTGGAAGAAAATGTTTTTAAATTGTTTTGTTCTTAAAATACCTCAAACTGGTAGACACAAGGAAGTATCCTTGTGCTTAACTTTTAAGCTACATGCATATTTAATAATATTTTATACTAGTATATTTGATGCTGGATTAGTAGGAATATTTAGGCACACATTCTTATGCAAACATGTGTGAACCCATGTGCACATACATGTCCATGGACATGTATGTGCACATGGATGAAATACATTCCCTGGTGAAAATAGTTATTAAAGAGTTATCTTTAATAATGAATATTTCAGAAACAGACAATACTTGAAAATATCCACTTCTTCCTTTACAAAATGTGTTCTGCTTTAATCCTCATTTCCTCTGAAATACTCCCTATAGAGTTCAGGTCTTCATACTCAGAACTGCCTTGCAATTTCCTGATAAGGTCACCTTTTATTCTGTTCCACACATGAGTTCATGTGAATTTTAATAGTTAAATTAACACCCTGGATTTCCATCAGATGAATGTTCTATTGATCTGATTAAGTTAAATAAATTAAGATCATACTATTGACATTATAATTTAATTATATTAATACTTCATATAGCCCCATTGGTGAGGGTAATGGTTTAGATAAGGATAGATATCTTGTGTCAATCAAAGATAGTTGTGTTCTAGCTCATATGGTTTTTAAAAATTTTCTTAAATACAGAAAACTAAAAAGTAAAAAGTGTGATAAATAATCCCATTCTAATAAGGGCCAGAGTGCATTTTATATTAGTAAGAGCAAAATATATATAAAGCTCCATATCATCTTTCTCCTTGCTGTCCATCTTAGAAGTAAAACTCTGTGCATCTCACAATTGAAACAACAGAAATAGCAACAGCTATTTCAAAACCACAATAAAAAATTCAATAAAACATAATCAAAGTCAGCTGGTGAATATAAATAATACCCCCTATAATATAGTCATTGTCAAGGCTCACCACTATTGCCAAACCCACAGACACAACATCACAGCCAAGTCCTCAGGCACTTCCTAAGGGCAGGAGATAGGTGCCAATCTAAATTATATTACAATAGTAGCAGCCATCAAATAGGAAATCTTCATTCCTTTATCTGAAAATGCCAAGCAATCCATTAGGGATGAAAAATTAAACCGGCATTTCAGTTATTCTACTGCTAAATGCAGTAGAAATAAGTTGGTCTTCTTGATGGATTATTGGAAAGAAAACATTCTAAGGATTGGTTCAACGAGGCAAAAATGGTTCCATTAGTGTCTCAAAAATATTAAGCCTTCTCTGGAAGGGCATCTTAAAACATGTAACCTCTACATTTGAGGCAAGACAGCAAAGACAACCTATGCATCCTCTTTCTCCATTATTGCTGTCTTTTTCTTTTCTGTGCTATATGTAAAAGATGCCTCTCAAAACATAAAGCCATTTTTATCAATGAAACCTCCCCATCTGATTTAGAACATCCATATTTATTTCATTTCTACTTAAAAATGCTATTCAAAGGCATGAAATCATTCTCAAAGCATTGAGCCATGATAATGAGACTAACTATGGGTAAGAAAAACTTGTAGAAGACAACACAAATCATGTTCCGATGATTGCTCAGAAGGAATCTAGGGAATAATAATAGAAAGGAAACAACTCACATGGGACAACTTTGTTATGAATTCTATTAAACTATTAACATTCTACATATTAAACAGACCTTATGTACATTTATCAAAATACATTCAATGTTTCAGGTGAATGGTTAATTTAAGAAAGAAAGGTATATGTTGAAAAATAATAAAATAACAATGCCAATCAATGTAATACAGATGAATGATGGCAAACAAAGATTGTTACATCTACTTTTGTTCACAGAATGTGGACAATTCATAAAAACATAAGAACAGAAGTTGGTATTCAAGGATAAGCCTTCATAGCACAATCTCAATTCTAGCCAATAACAAAACCAAATTTTAACTTTATAACTTCTTGTCCTTCACTTCAGTGTCTATACTGAGTAAGCTTGGCTTTTTCCTGCTTGGATATACTGAATGCAGTTTGAATGGGTTTTGGATTTCAAGAAAAACTTGTAAATAAGATCCAACAAATATTCTGAATTTTATATTAAATCTTTTTCAATTGTATTGACTTGCTCGTCTATTTCAGTGGTGGTGGTGATGGGGAAGCAGAAGCAAGTGCAACTTAAGAAGTAGAAAGCTTCTCCAGCATTTTTGAGTCAATTCAGTCCTTAATTTCTTCATATGAACTAGGCTGGATGAAATGGGTCATTTCTTCTTCCCTCCCTTTGAACATTAAATGTTCTGACCCCACTCTGGCCTGTGAATAAACCAGAACACAGGCTTGTCTGTTTGCCACTATTTAATGAATACGATAACAACTCCTTTGACTGAAGGCCCAGCAAACTCACGTTCAAAATTACAGGTTGGCAGCAACCCAGAAAGCTCCAAGACAGCAACGCAGATAATTCCACAAGACTACAGATTTCTTCAATGCTAGTTCGAACGATTGTTTCCTGCAAATGTCCCCTTCCAACTCCTCACTTATAAATCCTCTTGGGAGGGGCCCAGGCACAAACACCTGTGCGTAATTATCATCTATGAGACTGCCTACGGAGTTGCTGTTTCCGTTTCTCAGCCCTTCGTAATCTAGCATCAGGAACAAACTGCCTTTGATCCTCCCCACTGCTCCATGCCTCAGGTGCCTCCTGGTGGCCAACCAGCCTCTCTGGTCCCTGCTCTGAGTCTGAACCCTCCAGGGTCTGCCACATCTTCCATGGCAGACTCATATGGTTTCTCGCTATCCGAGTCCATCAGCAGCTCAACCGGATCCTGCTGGGCCACAACAATTATGCTTCTCACTTATGTTCACACATGAATGTATAGTATGCAGAAAGGCACCATAAAAACAGTTTCACAATTCTTTGGTTCCTGGCATAGTATTTGGTAGCTGATTTAATTTGCTGTTTTGTTATGCTTTTCCTATAATGCTGCCTTTATGAGTTTATATTGCATTTCCATTTGTTTCATACTTCATTTTTGCTATTCAGTTTTAATTTTCAAAGCATCATTTATACTTCCCATCCTACTCACCTACAATTAAAGAAAGGTTAAAACTTTAAGTAAAATTTTACTGAATAAATAAATACATGCTAATGTATTTAGTCTCTAGAATCACAGAGGATTGTGGATGATGCATAGTGCATTTCAGAAAACACTTAAATGAATGATATTTTAGAATCACTATTTGTACCTCCCTGTAGCTTTGTTCTAAAAGGAACCCCCCCAGGGGTGAAATTCAGCAGGTTATGATGGAGAAATGGTAATGGAAATTTTGAGTAGTTCAGAGAACCGGCAAATGCCACCTCTGACTGGCCTCAGAGTAGGGTGGGAATGGAGATTTTGCAGTATCCTTCCCCTGCCAGGCCCACCAAGCTACGTCCACAACCAGTAGTAAAAAAAAATGAATTTCACCACTGAACCCCTCCCTTCAATAATTGAGCTGGTGGCATTGTATTTAGCTCTTTCACCACCTTTCTTTTAATAACTCTTTGTGTCATAATGCTTTAGGTATCTGAGAAATTTAATATTGGTTTGCAGGCACTTCAGTCAGGATCATGCAGCTTTTCTGAATCCAGGAATTGCTCCATAATCATTACAATCAAAATTCCATTAAAGTTGAGGATGGCTGTCTAAAGAGAGCCATAAAATTCTCATATACACTCAAAGTAAGACAATCAAAAGTGAAGCAGGGACCTACAGAGATAAATAGAGAGCATGAACATGTCTTCCATTTTTTAAAAATGGTGTTTCTTCAAATAACAAGCCCTGTATACATCCTCACCCAGGCTCTGGCTTAGATTGAACAAAAACACTTTGTAAACTCTGGCTGCAGTCAGTTTGGATCTCCTCTTCCTAAATGACATATATGCAACTTCCAGTTCAGTAACTGGGAAAAAGTAGTGTATTTCATGACAGAGTAAAAATGCTATTTCAGAGAAAGGGCAGGCTATAAGAATCAAAATGGGATGAGATTTAAACTCCTTTCTTCTGGCAAATTAAAACAATCTCATTCCAACAGTTATAATTCAGTCAAACCTAATTTTATTTCAAATAACCTCCTCTCCCCTCATGTACTACCTTCATTCTGTTTTGAATAGTGACTTCAACTTGTAGTCTGAGGTGATTGGTTGCATACAAATGTGTGTGCTCAGGTTGCCAGTGTGATTTTAAGCGACTTGGATTTTCTCAGGGGAGCCACAAGTACTGTTGAAGCTACTGAGCTGTGAAAAAGGTAGTAGTTAATTTTTCAAAAACAGTGCTAAGAAAAGATAAGAAAAGGATGGCAAGAAAATATTCTTCCTTGAACT